TGCACTACTTCTTGCATAAGTATGATCGAACTTATAATATTTTAAATTAGGCAACGATATTCGTCCATCAACGTTGCCTCGAGACTACCACCATTTTCCCGGCGATTAAATTCAAGATGGCGTCACCAACCGCACCGATTGCAACCCCTCATGTAATAGAGAACCCCTTGCTCGTTTATGCGACGTACTGTAAAGGACGTAGGGGGAAGAATGGTGGGTTGCGCCCTTTCGCCCTCGGAAACACACACGCGTCTCTCTGTCCGTGCTCTTTTTCCGCCTTTTTTTCTCATTACAATACGTTTTTATGGGATGTTTCGCGGTTGCGTATATGAATCTGTGATTCTGAGGGAAGTATGAAAGGATGATGTGCTCACTCGTCAAAGAATTAAAAAAAATTGAATATAATTCATTCCTTGAAATCTTTTATATATTTGATTTGAATTCGTGTCGTTTTTTTATTCGATAATTACAATTTCCCAATAATTTGCAAAATGATTTTTTATGGCTGTACAGTTAGTCACGAAACTAATTATATAAAATATATTTTTCTTTATAAATACATTAAATATTAAATATATTTTACTTCAATATTCATTATTTTATTATTTTTAATGAAGTATTGTATGATAGAAAATTAAAATTTTATTTATTCAATTGCTCTCCCAAAAGAATACAATTCACCAATGTATATCTTTCTCTTAATTGTTTAAAAAAATCATCAATATTTCGATATTTTTTTCTAAAAATATTCTTTTCAGCCTTAACTGCAATGTTTGAGCACACGTTAAGAAGCAAACTTTAGATTCAAAGCGGATTATAAGTGGCACGCGAATGTCAATTTCTGTCCGGAACATGACACGAATACGATCGCAACTGACAGAACTGATCCAGGAGCTACTGCGGTAGCTTAGCGTTAAGTGTACCAGATTCTCACACGGGGAGGCCCGGTAGCAATTCGGGTAGCGGAAACCCCGCTGGGACTTTGTCGGGCTCGTTGACACCTCCCTACCGACCTATAGATATATGATCGTGAGCCCTCTAAAATTCTTTCTCTAGAGTACGAATCTATCTTCTCGGTCTCTATCCCTCTTCATCTATTGTATTAAATTTCGTAATTCTTTTCTAAAGATACGAAATTTCATTCTCTTTTCTCTTTTCTAAAAGTCTTTTCTCTTTTTAATAACCAGTTAAGTTTCATCCTTTTAGATATTTTTCCATTAATTACTTTTTAGAGTTTTTAAATTAAAAAGAAAAAATTTCATGGACGTTGAACTTTTTTTACAAGTAATGTATCTTATGATTTTTTCCTTCTTTTTATTGTCTCCTGCAGATTGCAGGTAACTTGCAATTGATCTGACCTGTTCCAAATCTCATAACCGAAGGGTAACCTTGAGTTAAACGGTTATTTAAATGCATCCGGATTATGGCCCTAGAAAAGCCTACCTACCCTAATCTCTCAGGTACACTGATAATCTATTATTATTAAGTCGACTACGTCCGCCAGTAATATTTGTAGCATTCTTTGTTGCTTTCTATTTTTGCACTTGCCGACAAAAGACGGATTATTTTATTTCACCTCTATTCTTTTCAAGTAAAATAAAAATAAAGAATTTACAATTTTTATTTAAATGACAATAATCTATTTGCATTTAATTTTACGACTTATTTGTATCAAAGTTATTATTTGTATCGAAATTAAAGTTAATGTTTTATGGTGCAGCATACAGGATATGTGAAATATCTGCATACAGATTGCGATCTTTTTTTTTCACTTATTGAGTAAAGGATTCTAATTATATATGAAAAATTGTGTCCTAGAGAAATTAATTAATTAGTTTCATACATAGGCAGCGGTCTGATTCACGCTCACAGCTCTCGTGAACATTCTTATTTAACCTTTGAGAAACAACAGGAATAAAATGATTCTTAAGCATTGTAAATGTGAATCGGACTATACATGATCTACTTTATAATGTAATAAACAAAAAATATTATAGATACAAGATTCAATAATGGATAATTTTTTAAATATTTTTAGTTTAACATATTATTGGCATAATATTGGGCAATATATCCCCAAAACTTAATCATTGTATCGTCAATAAATTGCTATTGGGGATGTTTCAAAAATATAAAACTTTTACCTACAATACCTTTAATACACTATATAGCTTACAAACTATCTGTTATTGAGCCTTATATCTATGACATCTTTTGTTCCCCGTATTTCTAAAGGAAATTACAGAAATTTAACACTAACCAATTTATTACTGAAAGACAGTAATTAATTATTTTTTTAAAGTACTAAAAATACTAAACAATGGTTTCTTTAATATTTAATAGTAAATATAAGTAGATATAATTACTGTTTTTCTGTATACTGGCTAGTATGACATTTCTGTAAGGGTTGTATGTGAAAACTAATCAATTTTGCTGTGGAATTCAATTTATTTACCAATTTATTTATTAATTCAATATTATACATAATTAACGCAGGAGCCTTTGCTATTATATATATTAACAATTTTTATACGTATTATATTGGAATCAGCAATCACGAGTAATATTTACGTCCTAAATTCCCAATGAATTTACAATCGTTTCAATTCTGTCTAATAGCTGTTGCTCCGAGGAAATCGCTGTCAACGAATACAAATTCTTCCGCTTTTGCCATCGCCGTTCATTCTTTTCGCCTTTTACGCACGTCCAAACATTACCTGCGCGTTATGTTGTCCATGTCGCAGATCACTTCCTTTGTGCAGCGATGGACGCTGCGGGTGGGCCTGTATATCGGAATGTTTGCCCGCGTCATTGTTGCGCGTCTGACACTCGATACGTTCCTCCCAGAATCCGGTTTTAAAAAGCGTTTAGAACCCCTAATAGCCAGCTACCTTTCCTCCTGCTTTACGCGAGATATCGCTTCTTCATCGGGAGATCTTTCGCATTCTCCCGCGCGAGGACGAGTGTTCTCGCGCTCACCGGGAAGCCACGGGCACACCCGGGGCGCCGCTGACTTTCTGATGTATGGATCGCTTGTATCCATTCGCAATTCAAAGACGATGAATACGCGCTGACGTTCGTCGTTGCGCGCACCTAAAAGTTACGGATCGCTCGCAGAATCATCACGACAGGCTGGACTGCCCGCGGAGATGAATACGGGGGGAAAGTTTGTAAACGGAAGAAGGTGCGAGTAATGTAATCCGTTAATCGAGGGGATCTGCCGGATCAGGATGCAACTTGAGCAGATGAGATGTTTTAACAGAAAATGTTGAAAATGTGTAGTTACAATATAATGCGCAAAAATCTTAGATAAAAAAGTTACTTGTTAATAATATGAAGATTGAAATGTACGGGGAAGTAGGAGTCAGCACGATAATCGTGCGTAAGTATAAGAATGGAAATGTTTATATTTAATCCATTTTTAATGTAAAGTATAAAAATATAAAAAGTTGGTATAAAATCCGTACGCATTTCAACTTACTTCAAGTCATTCTCAATGGTATCAATATGATTCTAATTCAGCACAAATGATGCATCAACATCACACAAAGAGATTCCTAAGCTTCAGCCCAGTTTACAGGCCAGAAGGAAACAAGAATTCTTATAAAATGAAGCTATAATAAGGATGAGAATGTCACAGATATATGTGAAATTATTTTTAGAAAAGACAAGGAGAAAGCAGATTGACACTCACTGAATTGATGCAACTTGTGCGTACACATACAGTAGTCAACAGTAGAATATAATATTAATTTTAACAATTAGATGAAGTAACAAGAGTGATCCAAATAATTTTTTCGTCAAATGAAAAGAATAAAATGTAACAGTTGTTCACTCTTCGGTTATATGGAGACAAATAATAAGTGTCACAGTCGATACAAGCGCTGACCCGAAACGATCGAAAGCATAAAATTGTAAACATTAATTTCAAATAGTATTCAGAATTGACGTATGGTCTAAAAAATTCAATATCTGCTTGTTTAAATTCCTTTTTTGTATTTTTATATGCAACATTTCAAACGTTAATCTTTTGTTGTAATTCTATATCCAAAACTTGCACCTTGTCCCAATCGAATTCATGGTCAAATTGCAATCTGTGATCTGTAATGACCGAATGAGAAAACATCTTTCTTCTAATGTGATTTCGATGTTCAGAAATGCGTGTATATAGTTGAAGGCTAGTTTGTCCTACATAAGAAGCCTTGCAGTCTTTGCAGCCAATCTTATATATGACATTTCTCTGTGTACTGGTTGATAAAGGATCTTTCTGCACTTTGATTAGACTGCGAAGTTTATTAATACTATAAAATGCAATTTTGAACTATAATATTAATAATATAGTGTTAATAATATCTTCTTGAATTTATCTGAAATGTTGTTAACAAAGGCGATCGTAAATCAAATGATTTTATTGTTAGATGTCATATTCTTTTTGTTACCTTTGTTCATCATGTTATTATTTTTTATAAGATATTTTATTCTCTGAGACATAGTATTAAAAATAAACAATAAGATAGGAAACAAGAAACGTTTATGTTAAATTACTTTTAAATACGAAGAGCCACTACGGTCTGTGTTGAGATGTTGAACTATTATAGTATATATATTTTCAAATAAATGAATTAATTTCAGAAATAATAATTACGCCGATATGGTTGTCGGCTTTTAACGCAATCAATCTAAAATATTAATAATCCTCCCAAATTTCCCAAATTAACAGTTTTTTATTTACAGTTTTTTAAGATTAATTTGAAAAAAATTATTTTTATTAAATAAAAATAATAAATTTGGCCATTAAACATAAAAAAAAAGTAGACTCAAAAACTAAACTGCTAACAAAAATTCATCTTTGGGAAAAGTGTAACATTCTGAGATAAAAATATTATTTCACTCTTTATTAATATTATTATGCAGTTGCAACTGCAATATGTTTTTATTGACAACGCATATTGTAGCTTCCTATTTGCTTCCTATTTTCTTCAGTATCGCTTCTTTTATTACATTTCTGTCAAATTTACTTAATTTGCAGTTTCATATATTCTCCCATTTATTATATTCCCAGCTGGACTGTAATTGCAAACCAAAGAGCTTGTATTCCATTTTTTTTGGTTATCATACATTATAAATCCGCAACCAACGTCTCTTGTTTCAGCCCAGACTATTTGAGTATAATGACCTGTCTCCACTTGCATTCTACAAATAATTTATTTTATAATCGCATTAAAAATGTTATTATAAATATATCTCCAAAGATATTTTAATTAATACACGTAAATAATAGTTTAATACAATATTATTTACGTGCAATTTCTTATATACAATACATAAATATCTCTACAGTAAATAAATATGATACAGATATGTAAGAAGCTTTTCTTGCAATTTGAAGAATTAATTTACATCGTAGTATATTTTTCAATATATTTAAAATATTTATATATAATTAGAATATTTAATACTAAAAAGATATTTACTCAAATGGCTGGTTAACTCTATTTGCATCAAACTTTTCTACTTCATCGTACCACATTTCAATAAAACTTCGCATAGTGAAATCGTTTTCTCCAGAAGAATATGACTGGGCTATATTTTGGCCAACTTGATATTTATCTGTAATACATTTAAATAAAAATAATAAATAAATTGTACATTTAATTTATAATTATATGTGAATGTATAAATCGGTACGTACCTATATCTCTGCATGCATCATGTTTGTAATTGCATTGATTGGCCCACCTTTGAGCAATTGCCAACTGATTACTCCAAAATATGTCGGAAATGACTCTCTTCGCATTCGTTGACAAAAGAAGGTCAAATTTGTTCCACGTGTATTTAAAAATAGCAGACGCAATGGAAAGTTTTTATGCGATAGCACGAACATATTAAGTCAGGAAATTTCCTAACCCGATAGACTAGTCCTATACTTATTAAAAAATACTATCTATTACGTCTAATATTTTCTGTTAAATATTTAAAAAAAAAAATTAGAAAAATGGAAAACAAAGTGATATTACTTTTATAATATTATAAATAATATTATAAATAATCTAAAAGTGATCTAGTATTACTTTTATAATATTATAAGCTCTTTCCAAAATACATATATTGACATGTTTATATGAATAATAGGAATACACAAAGAATTGTTTTCCAAACAACGAATTTATCTGCATTTATTTATCTATTTATCTACTTATTTCCAGGTGAATTAGAATCCATAATCTGGAATAACAAAAGTATCAAAAAAACGTTACAATCGATGTATATACATTTAGTGTGCTTGTAGTTGATCATAATATAATAATTTTACCTTATTAAAGAATTTTTTTCCTTTGATTATAAATGAAACATTGAAACACAAATATAAATTAAATAGTATTTATTATAAAGTATGCATATAGAGCTATACATAGCTGTATATAACAAGATAAACTATTGAAATTATTAACTATCTTTTGGTAATTATAAGATACCAAACAATTACTTACCTACGAAATGTTATATCACGATCATAACATTCTGCATTTTGCTTGACAATAACAGAATGAACAAATTGAGCAATAAATTGATAATCAAGTCAGAAAAACAAAATACGACATACTGCAATCTGTTGAATTAATTAATCGTGAATTACCTACAAACTGCAAAAAATAGGACATTTTGAGTGACACGCGCCGATATTGGATACGGTTTTGTCTGATTATTTTATATGTAATATAAATTATGAATTAACAGTAGAGCTATAATACACTGAATAATTATTTTTTTATAAAAACTTCGAATAAGAGGCTGTTAGCAATCGGCATGCTAAGAGGCCACATGGCAAACTGCCCAGCAAACTAGAATGGATTAAAATGGATTGAAATTTTATTCATATTTTTTATTCATATTTTCAAAATAATAACAAAATTATGAAAAAATAACAGATTATTCTAAATCACATATAAAGATTTAGAATAATCTATTATTATTTTTTCATAATTTTATTATTATTTTGAAAATATGTAAACCATCCTTAATATTAAGTTTAAATAAAAAACATTTTAAATTCCATTTCCTAACTTAACAGTGAAGTCTAGAATGGACAGAATTGAATTTTTCTAAAAAAATTTTCTTTAAGATAGAAGTCAGAAGCTGCAAACGTCGTCATTTAACATAAAAGTCGAATTAAATAATAGACTACTGAGAGTTTGCAATTCTATTAGTGCTTATAAAATAAAATCGGCAGCAATAGAAGAAAAAAAATGAAATTCAGTTGTGTTAATTTTTACTCTTGTGTTGTTTTTTTATAATTCTGCGAGCTTAATTATTAAATTAGCAGCGCTACTATTTCCTTGGAAATGGCACATAATATACAATTGTGTTTGATAGTATAAATTCAATCTTTGATTTCTGATATTATATTTTTGTTTTTTTTTTAATTGATTCTGCCAGCTTAATATTAAGCTATGTACGCGCGCGCGTACATAAATATGCGTTTTGATTATATTTATAAAATTATATATCAAAATTCATAAATCAAATAATTTTAACAACAAACTTAATACTAAATATCATCTTTGTATATTTTCATTTTCTATCGCAGCACATAATGAAAAAAAATTTATATTAAATAAATAAAAAAAGAGAGAACTGGTAAATAAACAATAAATTTCGATATATTATAAGTAAACAGTTTAATCTAATAAATATCTTTTTACTTCGAAATTTGATTGTTAAAACTATTGAATATTAACAATAATATTTAAAAATATGATTAAATTGTGACATGAAAAATTTAATGACATAGTGCTAATTGTTGAAAAATTATATATGATTTTTCTGAAAAATGTGCAAATAAAGATTATTTTTATTTAGAAATTTAGTATATTTCACTTTCTGCTTTTAGGAAGCAATTTAGTATTACATATTATTCTTTTTATCAGGACCTTCGCTGAACTGTTAAATATAACATACAATCTGTTATGGAAATCCGAGCATTAATAAATTCAGAACCATGAAAGAGTATCAGGTGAATTGAAAAATCACGGTCTGCTCAAATAAGCTTCGGCTTATCGTTATATGCATCAATAGAATTGGACGCTCGAAAATGGCTCGATTTCAGGTCGCGCACTTTACTGAAAAATCATCATTTTTTTTTTCTTTACCCTCTTTTCTTTCGAGACTGTCGGACGTCAAAAAATAGGGGCCTTGGTGGGCGGGTGGCTATTCGAATCTTCAAGAAGAGATGAATGAAAGCCAGAAGTCCATTCACGCGCGCACCTGACTCCAAGCTTCGAGTCGTGAGAATCGATCCGGAAATTTTTCAAGATCTCTTTCTTTTGCGTTGTAGATGCAGAACGGGAATACAGAACGTAATCCACAAGCAATTTTTTCAACGATGTTTCTTAAACTGTCCCACAATTACGTTTGTGGTCTATGTTATTATATAGATTTCATGTATATGACGTGTATATAAAAAACGTGTGAAAAGAAGAAAATACGTAATATGGAGGTTTATCACCGAATTTCATATTATAATATAATATATTTCCATTATATTTTAGTTATTAATAATTATAAAATGCGATCTACTTTATATTCTCTAGCTATACAATAAATTAATTATAAAATTTTATCAGTTTATCTTTAAAAAGTCTTTTTGTTAAATATTATTCTTTATATATTATTATTGAGAAAAATTGATTATAACGATATCATGTAACAATAGAATGCATATCATTTAAGTCTAAAAATGGAAATAAATGCAGAATTAAAATTAAATAGTTTTGTATGCTTCAAGAATAAATCAAATATAAAATGTCTATATGTGCCTCCGCAGTTGATAGTGCATAAATAATATATTTATAATTTGTAAACAGAAATTAAATCTAAAAATGTAAGATGATACTAATAAATATATAAAAATTTATTTATAAATATATAAAAAATTTAATTATACTACTGAATATGTACACAAATTTAATATTAATAAAAACTATGTTTTATTAATATTTAAAAAAGCGATATTTAAGGTCTATCACATTATTTTTAGATATGGATTTATATCTCTATCATTTTGAAATTATATATTTAATCCGAGACAAATTAAATGTATACAAAGAACTCAAAAGCGCTGACTACCAAATTCTTAGTTTTTTATTCTCACACATTCCGGAAATTCAATTTGCTACGCGTTAATAATTACCCGCATCACGCTGACAGCTTAAGAGTGATCTCGTGAAAATATAGTAGACCTTGTATTCTTTTTTTGAACCCATAAAATAATAATTCAATTATCTGTTTTTGCATATTCCATAATAGAAACTAAAAATTATTTAATACTAATTCTAGTAGTAAATATGTAAAAATGTAATGCAATAATATTATATAATTCTATATGCTGTTAATTGAAAGTAAAAAGGAAAAAGATGTATTAAAACTTCTATTTTCTATTTTAATACTTAATATTAATCTTTTTTAATCATTAGTAAATATTAAATCAAGTTAATAGTAAAAGACATACTTAAAAGTATTTTGGCATTTTATTGTAAAATTAATATTTTTTTATTTGTTATTCTGTTCGTGAGCATCAATTATTTAGTCAATGTCATCTTTTATGCTGCTCTTCATCTTTATGCTCCTCGGCATCTTTATGTTCCTTGTCGATATGATCTTTATATTCCTTGTCAATATCATCTTCATGTTCCTTTAATGTCTCAGGTTTAAGAAGAGCCTTCTTCTTCCTTGGTAGCCATGGACGTGGTGCTCGGAACTCAAGATCGATTGTCTGTTTTTTATCGTCACTATCACAATGTTTCCTATTTCTAATTCTCAACAAGAATATATTTGGATTTTCTTCAAGATCGATTGGTTCTACCATCTTTGACTTTCGATAAGGAGCACTCTTGCTATCGCCTTTTACATTTGGATATAACGTGATCGTGTGACATCCTACTTCCTCGCAGGTTTTCTTTGTTGATGGCACAGACACATCCTCTCGAGGAGTACGACAGAGTTCCAAATTTCCATGAGCCATATCGAATACAAAGCCGTCATCGCACTTTCCTTGATTCAACGCCGACTCTTTTGAAACTACTTGATCAATGCATTCGCACAGAGGATCGTACTCCTCTCTGATCGTCTCCTTGTGCATCCTGATGATGACACGATTGTCATTGATGATAGCTTCGATCTCCTTGTGTGGCTGTTTCTTTCTAACAATCTCAGATACAATTGTGTCAGTTGGATTTTGCTCCTTGGACATCTTCTCTCCAGGGTTTTTCATTTTTGATTTACTTCTGCTAGAAACTGCTTCTTCATGCTTTCTTTCGATGGGACTAGCCTGCGTGAAGGGGTCGAATACATTTTAAATGCATCTACAGCGCAATAACAAGGATATTGTGGAGGGACTGATGATAAGTGTACGAAAGGAATTTTCTGTGAACATAACGATATATGAGGAAAACTTTTACAATTGATGCAGTAACAAGCTTCGTTTTTATTGTATAGATATGTTTTGGTTTTTTAATAATTTTGGAATGTATACAACATTGTGTTGTTTGTTTTGGTAAATGGTACAGAGTGCCGTGTGGTTGAAAATAACAAGATGGACAAGATGCTTGTAATCCGATTGGTCCAAGACTCACGGTAAACAGTTTTGATGGACAGCCACAATTATAAGTTGCCGCAATCATTCTTGCTGTTTTGTTGTGTTATGTATATGAATAATAGGATTTAACATGATGGCAAATTGTTATGTAATAAATTTTGACCGGGTTATCCAAATGGTGACATGGTGCGAATTGATTCGAATAACGTTAGAAATGGCAAATCTGTGATGTATTTGTTTTTTAACGCGCAGTGTGAATATATCAAATAAAAGAATCGATTTTAAATAACTGTACTGTGAATTCCAACCACAATTTTATAAAAATGGGACGTTACATATATAAATAATACAAATAATAATCTTTCTTTCAATAAACATTATATTCCACATTTCAAATTATCCGTTAAAATGCAATTTTCTAATAATAAAGGTAAATATAAGAAAAATTTGTTTTTGTTAGCTAAAATAAATTTTAATCTAAATTGTTTACTTCAAATTTAATCTAATAATGCTTCATTTAAAAAAAAATACTTTTTTTTGCTATATTTAATTATAAAATAGATAAAAAATTTAAAAAAAACATAATATTTTCTCTCTTATATAATATTAAATCATAAAATAATTATATTTAATATTTTTTAAATAATATTAATAATAAATATTAATACACACACACATATATATATATATATTGAAATCATTTTAAATTTTTTTACAAGACGTGTGCCTCTGTCCTTCAATAACCCATCCACCTTATGCATCATCATCTTCGTCACATTCATTTATCAAGGATGCTTGTTCAAAATATTATCAAGAGATTGGAGCTGAGATGATTAGTAATCAGCTGATTATTAGATTGGAGAAAGATAAAAATAAGTCGAAAAAGAAACGAGAAGAATGGGAACCACCTTGCGACTGCATTGAAATTCAGAGACCGACGAGCAAAACAGGCCCCAAAATAATCAATGCCGATTATGACGATCGCATTATATTTCGCGTTCACTCGACACATCGTTTACATGAAAAGGAAGATCCTTATAAATCACAAACTATTGTCTACAAAGTTTGTCCAATTTAATATTAAATTTTAAGAAATTGCCGTTTTTTTACTAGCATGAGTAATGGAATAATAAATTAATATTATAAATTTGAGTAAAATTCTAGATCATATTGTCAAAAATTGTAATTTCTAATTCTGTATATATAAACATATTATATATATTTTTATATTTAAGATAAATAAGTTTTATATAGATTTTTTACTCTGTATAAAGTCTTTCTTCAAAAAGGAAATATATACATATATATATATATATATATATACATATTTTATTACATCAAAAGAAACAAAAATACTAAGAAAATTTACAATTTTAATTTTATTGAAAAAACATATATGTATAATTTAAATTTCAGATCGGATCATGCAAAGATGGACAGCAAGACAATCATCAATGCAAAACTATCACTGTCTATCCTCAATTTGGTTCGGGAACACAAGAAGTGTATAGCAATCATATAAAAGAAGGCGATCAAGATATCTTTTTATTAAGGATTAAAAAGAAAGCAGAATACTCTGAACAGAAAAATAGAAATGTCGAACTCGAACTCAGAACACCTAAACCGCCGTCAATACCATTACCGTCATTATCATCATCTGTACCTGCGGTTGCACCACCGCAAATTAATGACAATGTGAAAGTTGAAAAGGAATCGAATGTGGTAGAGGAAAATGCAAAGCAATCAACAAACGTAAAAGAAAAAAAACACGCACGAAAGAAAAAAGGAAAATAATCTTAAAAGTAACATATATGTATACTAATTTATTTAAAAATCAAATATCAAATAACTCAAAATAAAATAAAATGTAATTCCGTCAATTACATAAAAATTTAATTGTTGCCAACTGTCGAAATCATAAAATAAGTTAATTAAGAGCTAATAAGAGTTTTAGCATAATAACCAGTGCATAATAAATAATATTGAGCACTTTGATTATTGCGGTAAAACTCTTATGAGTCCTTACTTTATTTATATAAAGATCTAAGAAAAAAAAATATAACTATTAATAATTTTAAAAAATTATATTTTTTAATATTTTATATTTTATAAAATGATAATTTTGTATATCTATTTATTGTTCAGTTTGCCTAATTGTTTCGTGAAGGAAGAAGCTTTTGTCTTATTTAGATGACTACAGCTTATTGTTATAATAAAAAACAACACTTTCTCTCGACATTAATAAACAATTAAATAGAAACTAAACTTCTTCCAGGTGTTTAAAGAATATAAATATGATGAATTTGGATCGAATCTATCGGTAGCCGTTAATAACATTCGGAAGAAAAGGTTGAACTTTGCTTACTATTATGGAATCTTCAACGAAACGCACATTGTATGTTTAATACGAAGTATACGTCTAGCTTATTCATCGTTCGACCGAGTAGCCATGCAAAATTGCTTTGTTATGGATGACCAGATAATCCTCTCGTTTCTTTTCATTTTTTTTCCTTAATTATCCATACAAAGAGCCTCAGACAGTTAATGACACAACATGCCACTGAAGGCCGCGTTGTTAAAGACTATATTATCATAATTGCTTGCTAATTTCTTCATCTGCTTCGCTGAATTGTAAATGAACGAGCTACCTATCAAAGAGTATCGTCACATATATAATAAAATATATATTAAAATTTATAACTTTGTATATCTGTTTTCTGTCACTAGATCGATCAAAAAATATGCAAAATATTGTATATGTGATAGGAATTAGCTTTGCACATTTTGATGCAAATATAATAAGCATGTTATTACTCAAACAGAATAACAAATCACAATAACATCAAAATTAATTGTAACTTATTGAAAAGTGACTTATAATAAATTATTTTGGAGCCATTTTGACATGATTTTGATGTTATGATGACTTGTATTTTACTTTTGAGTATCTATTCTCCTTAGCGTTATCTCTACTTAATTCACAGCTTTTCTTCTTTAAATAAAAAATTAATTCGTTGTTGTATATTACATGATGCAATATAATATGGATGTGCCTATTGAGTTTAGTCGTTCTCTTCTAAAAATGATTTAGAAGGTACTCGAAACATCTTAAAGTGTCCCCATATTTTCTTGGCATTGTCACCAATTTTCTCGAGATCGTCACAGTCGGCGATCACGAATATTCTGCGAGCATCGTCCGCGACGTCGGCCGTGGTATCTATACGATGTGTAAAGTTAAACTCACAAAAGAGGAGAATGGATGTCGCGATTATTGGCGTGTAGGGGGAGAGCAGGCTTCACAATATACGCGGGGACGCGGGAGTAAGAAAATGCGAGGGCGGTTTCGTAATTGTGAATGGCGTGGGAGTTCATAAAGGTGTCGTTCGCATTCTGTGTGGTCGCGTTTAAGGACGGTAACAATGGCGCTGACCAATAAATTAGAACGCCACGAGGAAAGAGCGCACTCTTGATACACACGGAGAGAAACGGTGTGACGAGCACGGTCGCGGCGGTGAGTGAAAAGCTACTCGTTTTTCCTAAACCGTGACGGGCTAAAGAGGAGCCTGCGGTTGCTGATGAATGGAGCGACAAGTGACCACGATATTGTACGGAGGGTGGCTGTCTGCGAGCTAAGGAGAGAATCTCGACGCGCGAGAATTGACGTCTTCGGGATGAAAGAACTGCGATAATTCATGGGCCACTTGTGAAAAACGCGTAAAATCGAGATATTTTTTCGCACGCCCGGACACAAACAGAATTGAACACTTATAAAGGAGCTAGTAGCATCTCGATTAAAGAAAACTCTCGCACTGCAAACGTTGATATTATTCAGATAGATAAACGTTCATTACGAAAATAGTAATGGATAGAATAATCTTCTTGAAATAATTTCTTTGGAATTTCTTTTTCTACTCACTTCCCTTAATTAAATTTTTTATACTTATTTCTACCATTAATTAACTTTAATCTTGATTTAACTTTATTTTTTTTCTAATTTCTTGTAGACTTAAAGAAAATAAAAAGTAAAAAAGTAAAAGTAAGTTAAACTAAGATGAAAGTTAATTTAAAAATGGTCATTAATTAAGTTATTATTTTTTAAAATAAAAGTTCTTAAGTTTAAATATGGAAATATTTTTTATTATTAATATCATTGCTAAACAATTTCTGTATAAATTACAATTAAAAGTCACATAGAAATTAGCAGAATAATTTAACAGAGTATAAACAAAACAATACTATAAGGGAAGGTTCAATTTTGAATTATAATAAAAAATGATAACGTGGAAAGTATTTTTGCTTTCTTTTTTTGCGAATCAGCAAAAAAGAAAGTAAATTTATTTTTGGCTATAATTCTCTCGTTTTAATAATATTAATTGTCGCAAGCAGTAAAGGAATAAATAAATCAACAGGCACATTCGCCGCGGGCGGTAACGCGCGTGATTATTCAGGGTGGTCTACCGATTGTGGCATCAGAAACTGCAGCTAAAGCTGCTTGATCCGTGAACGAAAGATAGGGGGAAAAGCCGTAATATCATCATTATGTTACGTCACACAGATGCGCAGATCAGGGGATCTCGAGACCGCCGTTTTTATATTGCGGTTACTATGCTATTGTGTGTCCTGATATCCACAAAGGGCCCCAGAAAAACCCCTGCGGAGAGAAGGTCTATGGCATAGCAGAATTACTGATTGGCTGGTTCCCCTGTCAACAGTTATGATAATCTGTACGTACTTCCTGTATATCTTCCCTTTCCGATCACCTGTCAATTCTGCGAAGGTATTCCTGCAGAAATTGAAAAATATATCACACGAGTAGGTTGGTCATTACTTTAGTTCAAGGAATACACTTGTCAAAATTATTTTATTTTGACGTTATAAAAATTGAAACGATTTTATTGAAAAATTTAAAAATATTACGCAAAATTAGAAATTAAATTGTATTTAACCACCCAGCAAAATGAATTAAAATGGATTGGAAATTTTCAATCCATCCGCGCGCGCGAATCCATATTTTAAATCTATAAAAATGAATTGAATTTCATATAAAAAATTTCTTACATACATATAAAAGTTTAAATAAATTAAAGCAGTAATTACATGAAATTCTATTATTATTTTAAAACTTTTATATAAAAAATATATGCTAGCTGTATAATAAAGAAAACGTATTAATATAAAATATACATAAAAGCGATTAATTTATTAAATTATTAAAAATAAGAAATTTACATATGTAACATTTATTATATTTACGTAGTTCTTTTTATGTTTCTTTTAATTATTAAATGAAATAAAATTCATAATTTATATTTTTACGGTACAACTTTTTTTTAATTCAATTGAATTAAAACGAAAAATTTCTTATTCATAATTCTGAATAAAATAGCATTCATGATGTATTTTTAAATGAAACAATGGATTTTCTCACAATTTTGAATAATATTCATGGCCCATTTTAAGAAAATGAGCTATTAAAAGAAAAACTTTTTTTTATTCAATTGGATAAAAAATTACATTTCTTATTCAGAATTTTGAATTTAATAATATTCATAATGCACAGAAATGTCAGATATTATTTTTAGATTCAACTGGATTAAAAAATTGCTTTTCTATTTAAAATTTTTAATTAAGCAGTATTCAGATGCACATCACATCACACAAAATACTATAATATTATTTTTAAATTAAAAAGTATAGAAATATACTCCATACCATTTCTATAAATGAATAAAAATGCATTCAAGATTAAAAAAGAATAGACATTTGTTTCATGCAATTCCTAAATGAATAAAAATGCATTCAGGATTGAAAAGGATTCATTTTAACATTCATGAATTCGTATTTCTGAAAATCTGAATCCATTTTAATCCATTTTAATCCATTCTCGTTTGCTAGGCATAGACCATGATCATAGTCTATTTATAGTCTATTTAACTATAACGGAAATAGACAAGGTAAATATATCATGGTGGAAGTTAGGGAATCAATTGATGAAGTGAAAATTATAAAGTGAACAAATTTGCTACAATATTTATAATTCAATTGATCAACACTTACAATTAATAAATTTACTCACTTTTGTAATTTTTATTTCATTTCAAGATATACAATCGATTCTCTGGTATGCTCATTCTCGAGACAACTTTCATACGATTTTACGCAGATTCTATAGCTGTGTTCCAAAATTCATTGCCAATGCTGAAAATGTATAATATATGTAACGTAAACTGTAGATTTCAGCGTTAGCAATGAATTTTGGAACACATCTCAAATGTGACCATTTAAACATTTGCACCGCGGTAATTTTAATATGACAACTTGAAAGACCAAAATGAGTACTTGCCAAATAAAAACATGTAAATATAATCATCGAAAAGAAAAATTCAGAATTATACATTTTTATCACTTCCTAAAAGAGAAAGCATTAATATTAAAGTAAGAAAAATCTTGTGGAAAACCAATTTTTATTATAACATAAAGCTTAATTCGAATAATATATATAATAATAGCCGCGGCAATATGGCGGTATACTGTAACACATTCTTATTGGCTTAGAAATGCACACACCTGAGTTTACGATGATAACCAATAAAAAATCTAGACTTTTATTTTTCTACGATATGAAATGTATTATGAGTAAAAAAATGTTTTAAATTTTATTTAACTTTAAAATTATTTTAAAATTAAATTAATATTACTTTATTATAAATAACTGTAAAATTATTTTATTTATTAATATATAGGAAAATATTTTATATTTTGTCAATTTATTTAATATGAAAAGTTAGTAATATATAATAAATTTAGTCTGTTTCTGCTATGTATTTAACAATTTAGCTCACTCTGAACATAGTATAATTAGAAATATAAGATATGTACAATAAAATTGGCATAAAAATAAATGGTTGTTTATGGTTATTATTGAAAGTGAATATGTATGGTATCTACGGCTGTCTATTTATCATTCCTAAATAGAATTTTGTAAAAAATTACAGTAATTGTTACCTTCATTTAAAGTGACAGCGAGCAAGTCATGCTGGAATCACTAATAGTCTTGACAGTGCTGAATTGCATTTTTATGTTCAGTTCCACAGTTACAACCTGCGCATTGTGGTAATTATTACAAACTGCTCTTTTTGTTGCAATTATACGTGACTGTTGTAAACTGGTTCTCTCGACGTTATTCAAGAGACACTGGCATCTGTAGTATTCGCGATGAAATGTATCCTTTGTACTTCCATTTTATTTATTTTCCTTATACCGAATAAAAATCTTCTTCAAAATACAAGAAAAAGCGCAAATAGTGTGGGAACTATAAACCTATATAAAAAACAAATATAAAATTATAAATTATTAGGTGTTGGAATTAATTCGTAGCGTTTTACAAAGTATTTATAAGTTTTAAAAGTATTTTCATTAATGTATTTTTTAATGCTCATGTGAAATAAATAACATTCTTTCATTAAAAAACGCTACGAATTAATTCCAACACCTAATACAATTTTTGTTTGACCACACAGATTATTTCTTCGCATAATATAAACAATTCCAAGTATATATGTGTATCCAAACAAAAAGTAGTTTTTCACATACATTTGAAGAATATAATAAAACTTAGAAATTATTTTAAATTTACAAGAAAAATAAATGGCAAAGATCAAGTATACATAGCATTGTTTTTATATACAGGATATTGCAATGCAAGAAATATATATTTTATTTAAGAATTAAGTATTTTTAATTCGTCAAAGGTCAATTCGCAAGATGTAGCAAATGTTAATATCATGCAAGATGTAGCAAATATTATAGATATTTATGAAGAGATTGTTTAATACTTGCACATCTTGCAAATTGGTTTTTATGCTCCTTTAATTAATTTGACTTTGTTCGATAATCAATAAATTGTTTATAATTGTAATTAAAAATTTATTTTATTAACATTGATAAACTTTGGCTGCTCGCGCGCGCGCGCACACATCAGTACTTAAATACATATTAAAATTATATGTACCATTAATAATTTTGTTTCGCATCAGGTGGCGATATCAGGGTCATCGTTGTTGTCCTAGGAAAACTATTACTCAACAAAAATTCGATTCAAGGAGATTGAAAAATTATATTTTGCAAACTGTCAAAAAGTTAAAGAAATCAGGTTTTGACGGCTATAAAATTAGCAAGTCTGATAGAAATGTTAGCAAGCACAGAAGTAAAAGAAGTCAGAAAAATATATCTAAAGATCTGGGATACCAAAAAAGAAGCAAACAGAAAATATTCACGTAAAAAAAATTATATTTTATATTATTACTCTTTACTTATTTACTTATTTTTATATTGCGACTATTTACAACGACCTTTAATATATTTTTTAATATCAATTTACAATTTTTTATTGTGTATATTTACAATTTTTTATTGTGTATACTGAACTTTAGAGATGGGTTGGAAGTAAAAAAGTTCGACGAAAAGGCTAAAATGTCAGAGGCTTCTCAAATGATAAATAATACAAAATCAACGGTCGTAATGGAATTTTCAACAAGTTGTGTCCAAAAAGTTGTGCAGATTGTCGATAACGATCTTAATATTAATTCAGTGAGAACTCCTTTCAAAGAAATTGTCATTCAAAAAGATACCTCTGACAAGAAGCGTGATTATAATGTTGAGCAAAATTTCGAGGTTAACGTAGCTACTGACTCTTAAATTGTTGTAACAGATTAATAAATTAACGATATAAACTTATTATTATGTAGATATTGTAAATTCTAAGATAAAGATTAAAAAAAAATTTTATAAATATAAATCAAGATTTATGGCTAACAAAATACCTAATATTTCAAAGTTTTTAGTCTTATTTGTTGTATTAAAATTTATTTAAAAGAAACACAAATATATATAGACAAATAACTCTTCTTGAATCAATGTAAAATTCTTAATCTTTGTCTGTAATTTGGATCTTCGAAGTCAGAAGAATTTCAGTGCAGATTTTTATATTGTTTTGTACTGTATAAAAGTAAAACAAATATTTTTACATACTCATACTTGTGAAAACTTTAATGAGTTTTTATTATCACAAAAGTTAGATTATATTTTACTTATTTTTTTATGTATTTAAATTTATCTATTAGAATTCACAATAAAAAATTAACTGTTTTTTTTTAAATCTAACATTGCACAGAATTAATGAATATGAACGATTTTAAAGATAGTAGATGTATAATATTTCTTTGACTTAATTAATATAATTATTAGTTTTATTGTTAGAAGAATTATTCAACATTCTTCATTGTTCGATGTTTTTATTTCATTGTTACAATCCACTTTTATTTTTAATTCTTGATATCCCTTGTTTTTATCTCAAAATCTTTTACAACATTCGCTTTTGGTTGCTTTTAAGTTTGCATTTGTACTATTTCTCTTGTTCAAAGAATCATCCGACTTGTAATTATTTGAATATTCAGTTTGTTTGTTACATATCTGCGAGATTTCCCTATTCTTTTCCGTACACCGATGCAGGTTCCGACATTCTCCTGATTGAGCGCATATTTTTTCCCTATGGTGCAATCGACATTTTTTTTGTTGATCTTTTCGATTACATTCAAAACAAGAAGAATCTTTAAATTTCCGTTGCGCATGATCTGAGTCAGCTTTCACGTATTTCGGAAAATCGTGCGAACATACTCTTCGATGTTTCTGCTTCGGCTTTCTACGTACGCAACATTCGCTTGAATCCACTCTTCTAAGATTCTTTGAAAATCTTGGAAAACTGAGAAAAGAGAAATAATTTAACACTGAAGAAACACACACAGAACAAACATGCTTCGACACACTTGTAACACGTTTGCAACCCACGATTTTTACGAGCTCGTACCATACCGAAAAGAGGATACACCAGATGCATGTTATGCAAGCGCTGTTGCATATGGTAATACAATCCACCATTTCGCGAGAAACTTTGCATTTTTTTGTGATTTACGATGACGTTTACAGGTTCATATCTCAATTGATAAACTTAATTTTGTTAGATTTAATAATAAAATTAATCCAATTATCAACGCCACAAATTGATATATATATATATATGTACTTACATGCAATAACAACGTATAGTAATTAACACATGAAGTATAAGCTAAACCTATCAAGCCTGTCAATTGCAACACTAAAAATATGCATAGTGTAATTTCATCATAGATTTTTTTAGGAATTTTATGATCTAATTCCATTATGGAGCTAAAAGATGGAGCTAAAAGATAAAGAAAAATGGAGGAAGACGGAGCTCTCGTCGATTTTATGTCACATCGAAATGTAAGTATCACTATAATTTTTTAATGCAATCATTAATTTACAAATGAACTTGGGATGTTAAAGATTACCGCGTTATGCAGCTGTGTTTGTCTTGGATAAGCTCTTGTGCTTCAAGAGTGAAGAATTTAACCTGCTTATTCTTGCATTCGTTCAAACTATGTAATTTGCTAATTTTTAATATTTAATCGGAAAGCTGTAGTTTAAAGCACTTTGAGTATAAGTAATAATAAATTATAGCTCAATTTTATATTCATGCCTTAAAGATGTGGTTGATTTTACTGTGCATTTGCTGATAATATCGTATTATAATGTTACGCTCCGCGTCGGGTAGGATAATCTAGTCTTTAAAATTTTCTTGCGAAACCTTGTAATTTTGTGTAGATATTTTCATAACCGGATGGCGCATCGATTAAGGTATTTCTCCGGCTACAATTGCGCTAAAAAATTAATTGTGTACAACCTACAAATATGCCTCTCCGCGTGTGCTCTCTGAAGAGAGAAACTTTTGAGGTAAACGTACACACCATGATGGAAATAATAGAATTCGTTCCGAGTTACGCATGAAGCGCATGATATATCGTTTTATCTTTCTTTATTATTTGATGAACAATAAGGACAAATGATGCATCATGCGCTTCATGCGCAACTCGGAACTCACCCATATACTTCCACCATAGTACACATACATGCATAAATCGTCGTATCTGTGTACACGAGCACTAGTCCGCACTGAAGATTGAAATGTGACAACAGCACGTCCCTGTCTCGTCACTCAGCGTGCGAGAAGAATTCCATCAAATTACAAATTTAAACTACTCTAATTCAGAAATGGCAATGGTAGGCCCCCCCCCCATGTTTTTAATAAGATTTCTATAATATTTCTACATAATATTTTATCTATAATATTTATCTATAATATTTCTATATATTTATTTTTTTATTAAATCTGTGGAAGATTTTCGCCGCAAAATATTAAAACGTTGCTTCAGTAAGGCTTGCAATATTTAAATTTCAAAAAAATCTGTAGAAACTCAATTTCGGAGAAATGTCTTAATTGCAAGCTACGCTAATCTATTGGAAAGTTTATAAACACGGTATACATATATAATTATATTAATTACTTTATCATAATTCTCATTCACTTTGCGAACAAGTTATTAAATGAAAATAATAATAATAATTAAACAATGCCTTAAACATTCACTTTTCTTCAGTTAATTTACTTTTAAGCAGATCTCTCTCACTGTTAATTTTACAATTTCTGTCTTGTTACATTAATAATAATAATTGATTGTTTAATGTTAAGGCTTCTGTTTACTTATCACTACCCAAGTTGCAATTTATATTGGCGATATACTTGTTAAACATTGGGAATATAACTATATTATTAGGATATTATCCTGGATTGTGACATTAGAAGCGAGAAAATACATAAATGTTTATATGTATTTAATTGTGTATTTAAACGTTTTGATACAATTAAGGTTTTAGTAGCAGAGTATAAGTTCTTCCATAGATCGCTTGTTCATCTCAATGTGTGTTTCTTCAAAAAATCTCCCAAAATTTATTACGAAATCAATAACCTATTGATTTACCTCGTAAGCTGGTACGTCAGCGAAATTTCCTTATGAAAACATTGAGACAGATAATTCTACGTTCTCTATTTAATCACGCATGTATTGGGTGTTAAGAATCTGTACACGTGAATATTCTTCATATCCGGCATGTAATATGTGCGTGCGTGCGTGCGTGCGTGCGTGCGTGCGTGCTTGCGTGCTTGCGTGCGCGTGCGCGCGCGTGTGTGTGTGTGTGTGTGTGTGTGTGCAATGTCTGAATGGTGGGGAACTTTGTGTACAACTAGCACAAGGAGGAGAGGAATCGTTTTGCCTCGAGTAGATAGAAATTCTGAGTGGAGGGAACTGCGAAAGATATATTTCTTCATTCGTCAAGTTGGCCTCCGTAATGCAACATGTATGAATTTTGCCTCATGTCTGTGTGATGTTTCGCCATCTTGCAAGGTAAGTGTCGTAATATTTAAGATCAATCTTCAAAACGTTTCCTTTCAATCTATAAATAATCAGCAAAATACAAAATTTCAAATATATAGAATTTATAAAATCATTCTTTTAATTCTTCGTACTAAAATGTACTTTTCAAAAAGGGTTTATGAAAAAAGTACAATTGTATATCTTATCTTGGTTTTAGAAAATAAGATTTACATATAGAATTTTAAAACCTTTTTTTATATTATCCTTATAAAATTTGTATAAAATTTATTTTTATTACATAGACTGTAGATTAAAGAAATTTAATATTTAAAATGTTACTTTATTAGCTTTCAAATCAGGCAAGTTTAAATTTCACATTTATTCATTCAAAAAAAGGAAAATGTATGATCATTCATTTTATATCTTCATTCTCGTATTTTGTAATTATCTTTTGTTTAATATAGTTATTCCTACATCAACTCATATTTACTTGTTTATCTTCTCGAAATTCTACTATTATCCTATCTTCTCCAACATAAAATTCCTCTCATGTATCTCATCTCTCATCACTCTATGATTTTCGCCGATTTATTAGCAGTATTACTTGCAGTTGTAATATCGTTGATAAATGTGATATAATTATATGAAAATTCGATCATAAAATTACAATTACTTTGGTTAGAATTACTAGCAAATTATTTAGAGTTTAAATTAGAAATTTGTAATGTTTTTATTCCAACTCTTCATAAAATGTTATTATAATTATCAAAAAGGTCAAAATTAATTAATCGATTATGCTCATATCATCCTTTCTTTTCGCAGCCAAATTATTATAATAGCGAAAATTTATCGATTAAAAAATATTTGAATCATTTTGCTTACATAACGTGAAATATATAATAAATATTCAAATTTAAAGATTAC